GACGAGGACGTGGACCAGCTCTTCGGAGCCTACGGCTCCAGCCCCGGCCCTGGCCCCGCGCGGCCGCCCGCCAAGCCCCCCGAGGACGAGCCGGACGCCGACGGCTACGAGTCGGACGACTGCAGTAAGTTTCCCGGCCGCCGAGCGCCCCCTCCCCGCGCCCGGGCCCCCGCGGGGCGAGCGCCGCCGCGCGCGAGGGCCGCGAAGTTTGGGGGCGTCCTCCGGGGGCGCCCCGCACCCCTCCCCGGCCCGGGGGGGCCCCAGCGCGGGCGGCGGCTTTTGTTCCCGGGAAGGGCGGAGCTGCGCCCCGGAGAGACACCAGTTGCTGCGGGCCGCGCGGTGGCTCCGGCCCCAGAGCCCTCCGCGGGCGCTCCGGGGCGGCCACCGGGAGAGCTAGGGACCCCGCGGCAGCCCTCACGGCGCCGCAGCTTTGCTGGCGCGCGGGCCGAGGAGCAGGACCGCGGAGCCGCTTGTCCTTTGGAAAAACCTTGGCGGTTCCTCCTCCTGCGTCCGCGGACCCAGCCGTGGCGCTGCCCTGGCTGCGGACCTTCGCCCACCTGTTACCCGGCTTCCTCCGGACAGGAGGGTCCCTAGCCCTCCCCCCGCCCCCGGACTCAACCCCAGGGAGACAGCAGACACAGGGTCTCTAGAGCCAGGCCAGGTACTCCTGGTGTCCTGTGTGGTCCCCGAGGGTGCCTGACCCAGCCCGCCAGGGACCATCTGGGAAGCCAAGGAGGGAGGACGTCACAGCTCCTGTCCCATGGGTTTACTGGGGGCTCTGGCTGGGGTCACTGCAGGGAAGGGCCCGGCCCAGCTGGGACTCTAGTTCACCAAGAAATAAAGAGCCAGCCTTAAAACCTAGTCTTGGGTGTCATGGGACCCTGCAGTGTCAGAAGCCCCATGCCAGCTCCCCCAAGGCAAAAGCAGCATTGGTGGCTGTGTTTTGTCCGGTCGTTCCCCAGGGCCTCTGGGCTGGGCCTGGCTCTTCCCCAGCATAGCATGTGCCTCTGGAAGCTGAGGATGGGAGTTCACAGTGCCACCCTGGGAACAGAATCCTCATTTCACTTCTGGGGGCCCTCAGTATAGGTGGATCAGGCCTGGGCAGGGAACACTGCCTTCTGCTGTGCATTCCAGGCCTGGACCCTCTCACTCAGGGCATGAAGGCTGGGGAGCAGGCCTCGCTCTCTGCTGTCCTACAGGCTGGGGGAAACTAGGTGGGCAGAATTTATTAAAGTCTGAGAGCTGTGCCCTGGATTTACTCCCTGCCAGTTCCTGGCACTCTGTGCAAGGATCCAGACTGGCTGGCCCTTAGGGAGGCCCTAAGTAGGACCCAGTTGGCCCCCTGGGCAATCCAGAGCCAGCCTGGGAAGGATGGGAAGCAGCTTCATTTTCAGCATTCTGCCCGCAGCCAATGGAGTGAGCAGGTGGACAGAGCTTGTGCCTGAGCTGCAGGACACCCCCAGGTGCCATGGCAGCCCAGGGGGACAACATATGGCCAAGAGGGAAGAAATGTAGTCATCGCGCCTCTCCCGAAACCCATCAGAAAGAATAAAACAGGCCTGAAGCCCCACCTCCTGACAGCCAGCTCTGCGGGGTTTTCAGAGCACTGTTTCCGCAGCTGGAAGTGAGGCAAAGGGAACTGTGCCGAGTCCCTGGGCTCAGGCCACAGGTGTCCTAGCGGGAGAAGGCTCATGTGAGTTAGGTCCTAGATAGAGCATTCTCAGCTGAAACTGGGTGCTGGCCACACCCATATCACTGTGACACACTAACCAAGTGTGGAAAAGAGGCCTGGAGGCTGCAGAGCTGAGGAAGTGGGTGTGAGGCTGAGCCAGGCATCTCACTGGGGCTCTCATAGGTGAGAAAACCCCAGGCAGGACCACCCTGTACCTGGTAGCTGAGGCCATGCACCCCCTGAGCTCTGACAACCAGATCCCTTGGAATAAGCTTAAGTGATTCAAGCCAGATGGTTCATTATGGCTTTAGCCAGGGTTATGCTATTTGCTGCTCTAATTATTGGATTATCTATTCGGACAAAAAGAAATGAGGGCGGTTGCTCTGTTGTCCAAGCAGAAGGTAAAAACAGCCTGTTTGCTTAGCCCTGTCCTCCTCTTTAAAGCCCCTCCCTTGCTGGTTAGCTCAAACTGTGCAAGTATGGGCACCTGAACACACACACACACACACACACACACACACACACACACCCCTCATTCCCTGCTGAGCTTAGAAGGACACTGAAGAAGACACAGCATCACCATAGGCCCCTACTCCCAGGTGTCCCAAGCTCCCTGCTCCCCATCTGCAGAGGAAACCCAGACCCCAAAGCTGCAATGACTAAGAGGCTTTGGGTTGCGAGTACCATGAAATCAATTCCAAGTAGCTCACACCAGCAGAGCAGCAAAGGCCATGCTGCAGACGCCAGGGCAACCTGGAGCAGCATCCCCGGTGCTCTGTCAGTCCTTCCACTCAGCCAGCCCTTTGCCTCTGGGGCTGAAAACCAGGGCACATGTTTCTGTTCCCAAGGGCATATGGATGAGGACCATCAGATGAGAGCCTAGTCAGAGTGATGCCGTCCCCATCCGTTCCCATCGGCTAAGCGGGACCCTCATGATCCAGGGTGGCTGTTCTGGGTCCAGGCCTTGCGTGTAACAATGAGGTCCTAGATTTGATTTTTTTTTTAATTATTATTTTTTTTCTATTCTCATGTCTAGGATCCAGAAAATCTCTTCTAGAAGTTCCCAGGAGGCTTGTCCTTTTGTCTCATTGGCTAGAATCATATCACGTGTCCATGTTCCCGAATGACTCACTCGACTAGCTTAGGACAGGAACCCACGGAGGTCTGGAGCAAGGGTGAAGTGGGGAAGAGTTGTTGGTTCTTCATAGAAGGTTCTTCTGGGCTTGGGCAGATCCCAGTTACTGATGTATGTGGCCTCTTCACCCAGAACTTCTTTGGACCTCAGCCATGTTCTGCCCAGACACACCCAGCAGTACAATGCCAGCTGTGTGTCAGGCGCTGTGCAGGGGGCCAAGAGCAACCCCTGGCCACAACCTCTGGTCTTGGAATGCCAGAAACCCAGCAAGAATACCAGCAGTGAGGGACAGGGGAGCAGGCATACACAGAGGCCTCTGCTGTGGGGAGGGGGATGGGGAAGAAAGCTAGCAGAGTGAAAGGGGGCATGGAGGGCATCCAAGGAACCAAAACGTCAGAAACAGACAGTGGGGGCATGATGGGACCAGGCGTCTGAGGCAAAGGGAAGAGACTGGTCAGGTCATCATGATCATACAGAAAGGCTAACATGCCAAACCAAAGAGGTCAAATCTTGTCTTGGATGCGATGAACTTTTGAACAGCTTGAAGGGAGAGAATAAAGGAGATGTGGATTGTCTTAGCTCTAGGTTCTGTGGAGTAGAGATAGACCATTTATTCCTCTGCATCCTCCCTGGCAGTGCCTACCTAGTTCAGCGCCTCAGTTTCCCCACCTATGAAAACCAGGCTATAAACCAGGGCAGATTCCCCATTCCCAAGGGCGTGTGGGTAAAGGAACATCAGATGTAAAAGCTTTCAAGTCAGGCTTGATATTTTCTAGGGTTTCTTGGTAATCAAAAATAGTTATTGTGTTTTTAATTGTGTCTGTGTGATTTGGGGGGTGCCCTGTGTCACAGTACACATTAGAGGTCAGAAGACAGCTTTGTGGAGTTGGTTCTATCTTCCACTTTTACTTGTACCCTAGGGATTGAACTCAGGTCATTAGGCTCGCAAAGCAAGTGCTTCTACCCACCCCGCCATCTCCTCAGCCCCAGTGAAACTATTTTAGAGGCTGACATTTTTCTTCCAAATACAAAGCAAAAAGGACTGATTTCTGATTCCTGGGGGTGAGCAGGTCAAGCGAGTTCAAGTGCTGACCAAGGTCATGGCCAGCTGCCTGTCTGCACTGACCCTGTCGGGGAACGCTCGGCCTTGGGGGAAGCAACAGGGCCCTGTGCTTGTTTCCCTGTGAATTAGCCCCATTAAAGCGCTATAATTATCAGCAAGCCGGTGACAACTCTCAGAGGCCCATTAGTGACCAACCTTCATCATTTTTCCAAAGATGTAAACTTTCATCAGGGCACGTGAGCTGAGTGGCTCTGAGGGCAGGGCCCTCAAGATCCCGGGGCTCACAGAGAAGCACTCTCTTGTCTTTTGGGCCTTGCTGCCGCCACCACTGCCCCCTTGCTCAGCCTTTGGATTAGCAATGAGGCCCCATCCTTGTCCCTGTCCCAGTGCTGAGGCTGGGACCCGGGGCGCTGGTCATGTGAGGTAAAGGCTCTACTGCTGAGCCATGGCCTCAGACCACCCTGCCTTTTCCTTTTTCTGTCTTTCTAGCTGCATCCTTGGGACTTGAGTTACACAAAATGGGGAAGAAAAACTCTCAGGAAGTGGTTAGGCTTTAAGACAGGAGCTCCAGCTCTGTGCCCCCACCCCCCTCTGAGCCTCATTTCTATGACTGGAAAAGGCAAACTTGGGATCGTGTGTTTCCTAAGACAACTCCTCTACAAATGTGACTGAGCTCCTAGTGACAAGATAAAATTTCTTCTAGGACTTCAGTGGCCACTGAACACTCACCAGTCCTTTCTGGACACACGCTGGGCACGCTGTTGCTTGCTTCCCAGGTGGTGGTGACAGGCGGTAGCATCCCGAGGTGACTCTCCGAGTCCCCTGTCCTATCTTCTGGGGTGGGGACACCAGCAGATGTCGCACAGTGTGTGCTCTTACCTGTGGCATCACACCAAACCCTTCCTCCCGGGAAGTAACTGGACAGCGAAGCCGCTGAGCGGCCCTGCCGTGAGCACTGACCATCAGTTGCTTGCTGGTCCCCCGGGTGCCCAAGGCAGTGGCCTGCCCTCCCAGGGCGCGGTATTCAGGGAGCAGGGAGCCTTAACTTGGCATCGTGCAAACTGATCATCATGCAAAGCCATCATCTCTGCACAGTGATATTGCAGAAGCCAAGCTGATGGCTTCTGTAAAGGAGATGGTGATTTGAGCATCCTCACCCGCAGCATACTCTCCCGAAGCATCCTCACCCAAGCATCCTCACCTGCTCACCTGTTGGAAGGGAGAGAGGATGCTGCAGGCACAGGGCCCAGTGGTCATCACTAAAGCACGTATTTTCTGCTAGGGGAAGATACTTGCAGCTCACCCCAGACCTAGCAACTCAGTCTGAACACAGTTCTAACAAGTACTACCTGGTTTGTGGGAGAAAAAGCTGTCTGTGCTCCCAGAGGCAGGAGTGAAGGGAGGAGGCAGGAAAGTGAGGTACCATCCAGGAACCCCAGTGTACCAATCACTTCACACTTTTCTGTCTGACTGTGACCATGACCCACAGCAGAATCATTGTAGTCATAACAGAAGAGCCTAAGTGACCACTTATAAATCATGTTTCCAAAGTCAGGGAGAAGGCGATCCAGTTTAGGGCAGTTCCTTCCAGGAAGCCCTTAGAGGGACAAACCCATCAAAGCATGTCTGCTGGTCCCATACTCCCCTGATAATGCCCACGTGCCACGAGGTGGTTACAGTTGTCTCCAGGCAGGTGAGGAAACGGAGGTGTCTGAAGTCACACAAAGATGTGCTGAACTGGGATTTGAACCTGTGGAGTACCACAGCAGATGTTATCCTCCACACAAAATCTGCTCTGTAGAAAGACAAAAACGTCACCCTGTTGGGATGTTGGGTACCCAACACGTTTCCACATGTCTCTCAGAACAAAGAGCACAGCCTTTGTTGTGCCCGGCTGTCATGATGTGGCCTGGCCTTTGTTAGTAAAGGCAGGCACAACCCGGATACATGTTCACCTAGAACCCAGCCAGGGGTCCAGGGCAGAACCCTGACGAGGACTGAGTCCCAGATGCCTCGCACCACTGGCCACACATCATCTGTCAATCCCTCTGTCTCAGGTGAGGCACGGCTTCCTCCAGGACCCCTCCCCTGATGACCCAGTTCATACTGAGGCCCAAAGTCCCCCCTGAAGCTCCTAGGGCTCTCGGCTCAGCAGACAAACGTGTGACCTAACCAGCAGCTGGGAGCAGCTCAGGGATTTGGCGATATCAAAGAATGTGTGTCTTGCTGCGTGGGGACTTCAGAGGTCTCCCGGCTCAGACCCTGGCTCTCTTGCTGGGAGCCCTCGGGACATGGCAGGCCACAGCGGTAGCAAGTGACTTTTCCCAGGGTGGCAGCTGCACCCTCTGCCTGGCCCTTTGAAGACTTGGAGGCAGCAGCGTGCGGACCCAGCTGGCCTGTCACTGCCCACTTGAGCTCTCCGAGGGCCAGGGAGCTGCCGTGTCACATCACCTGGGGGCTCAATCTGCAGTCAGCCACTTAGGCTGGTCAGGTCCCGTAGCCTCCTGGAGCCTGTCCTCTGCCTTCTCACACCCCTGTGTGCCGTTGCCTGTGGCGAGGGAACTAAGGCAGAGGCACCCACGCTGTATGGTCCACAAAAGCGCGGCTTGAGAGCTCCTTCCTGGGCCACCTATCTGGTTGTGGTCATGTTGTGGACCTTAGGTAATCCAGCCAGAATCTCTGAGCCTCCTCATCTCACAGGGACAGGACATTGGCCCTCCCAGGGCTGAGTGTTTTCAGTAGGAGAAATGGGTAAAGAGGTTGCCATATCATAGCTGCTCAGCTGTCACAGCACTAGCCACTGAGCCGGATACAGTAGCATTCTTTATTGGTAACTTTTCTTTCTGGGAATTGAATCCAAGGCCTCTACTACTAGACTAGATCCCCAGACCAGAAGTTAGTGAATGGCACACCTGAGGACAACTTGCCCCGTGGTTCCTCTTACACTGTTAAACCTTCACGTTGCCTGGAAGGAGCGGCTGTGCTGTTAACACATGTCTGTCTGTCTTTGGGAAACTCGAGGTGCTTGCTTTATTCTGCAGTGCTGTGGGTAAAACTGAAGGTCCAGCCTGGGCTAGGCCTTCTGTCTGCCCCTTTGCTTTATTCTCGGGATTGGATTGGCCTGGAGGTGGTGAATTTGAACCTGTGCCTCCACCCTAAGCCAGCCACCAGTGTGCCTCAGCATTGCATCTGCCACTTCTTTTTTTGTTTTGTTTTGTTTTTTTGTTTTTGTGTTTTTTTGAGACATAATTTCTGTGTGTAGCTCTGTCTATCCTGGAACTCGCTTTATAGACCAGGCTGGCTTTGAACTCACAGAGATCCACCTGCCTTTCCGTCCCAAGTGCTGGGATTAAAAGCAGGCACCACCAAATAAATCTGTTCCTATTGAAAACAATGTGATACACCAGAGCCATGGTGGCGCACACCTTTGATCCCAGCACTCAAGAGGCAGCGGCAGGCAGACCTCTGTGAGTTCAAGGCCAGCCTGGTCTGCAGAGTGAGTTCCAGGACAGCCATGGCTACAGAAAGAAATCCTGTCTCAAAAAGGAAAGAAAGAAGAAAACAATGTGACTATTGGGCCAGTGAGGTGATTCAGCAGCCAAGTCTGAAGACCTGACTTAAAGCTCCGTAACCCACGTGGTAGCAGGAGAAAACTGACCCCGCAAGTCCTCCAGCCCCGGTGCATCACATGGTTTTCGGTCTTAATAGACCTGTTTATATCCTGCGCGTGCACGCACATGTCCAAATAAGTGCGTGGAACAGGGGTAATACCGTGGCTACTGAAGCCACGCAGCCCGTGTGACCACCCTCCTTCTCCCGCAGCCGCCCTGGGAACGCTGGACTTCAGTCTGCTCTATGACCAGGAGAACAACGCACTGCACTGTACCGTCAGTAAGGCCAAGGTAGGCCCTGCACCAGCCGCAGCCCGGGGTTCAGGACGGAGCAGGGTGCTGCCTGTCCTTCCTGTGCGGACTTCCCTGTGCCCCGCTATGTGGAGCGCAGCTGTCCACTCCCCAGACGCCCTGTGCAGTAAGGCTGTGTAGTTTGAGAAGGGGAAAGGATGGGATTGCAGAAAGCCAGGCAGCTCTTAGAGTCTGGAAGGGGTCCCTGAGGAAGGGGGAAAGTAGGGAGCCTATCTTGCAGTGGGGGGAGGGAAGGGGATTAGATGCCACTGTTTCTGGGTCTCCCCGTGCCAAAGCTTCAGCCCCGAGGTTCCCTGGAGCCCCTAAGCAGTTCCTATGCTGAAAGCCACAGGAGCCACTGAAGGAAGCCAGGCTCCAGACAGGGTGGCGGCCATTGGGTCTGAGTCCCAGAGGCCTCTGGGCTTTGCTGTGGGGAGTCTTGGACACCTGTAGACCCATCCATCAGGCCCTATCTCCTGTGCTCCTCTGTGGCTCTGCTTTTGAACCTGTGCCTGTTCTGTGAGCTCAACCATACTGTTCTCTTCATACTGCTCCCTCTGGGAGGAAGGTGCCAAAGTTGATGTTTTCCCGAAAGGTAAGGGCCACGTGGCCAGTAGAGACCCTTGTGGGGCTGTGGAAGGGCCTGGGCCAGCCCAGCACACAGGGAGTGACTTCCAGTGCTGCAGGCCTCGCCCTCACTCAGCATTCTTCACCTGCAGCATCTCCTCTCCAACACACCCTGCCGAAGGGCTGACCTTGGCTCTGTGCCTAGAGGGACACCCATGCCATCCATCTACCCAGCCTGGTTGTAGGCTGCCATGGGCAGTGTGAGAGCCTTCTACATTGGGCTCAGGGTCTAGGCTGGGTACTTGAAGGTCTAGCCAATCCATCCTGCATCCCTGCTCTGACTGTTTTAGCCAGTGATTTCCTACGGAACAGAGCTAAGCACCTGGTGACCCCAGCCTGGCAAGGTAGACGCAGGCTGCAGGGCCAGGCACAGCCCATCCTTGCCCTCCTCCTAGCTTAGCAGAGCTTGTCCTTGCTTGGGAACCAGCTGTCGGGCCACTGTGGTTGAGCCCAGCTTTTCCTCCCCATCTCAGAGCCTGGGGTTCCTGATGCCTTCTCCCTGCTCCAGGTGTGTGGTGTGTGTGTGTGTGTGTGTGTGTGTGTGTGTGTGTGTGTGTGTGTG